AGGTTGGAGAAAACTGCATAATGAGGAGCTTCATAACCCGTACTCTTCTCCGTGTATAATTAGAATGATCAAGTCAAGGAGGATGAGATGGGCAGGGCATGTACCACGATGGGGGAGAAGATGAATGCATATAGGATATTGGTGGGAAAGCCAGAAGGAAAGAGACCACTGGGAAGACCAAGACATAGGTGGGTGGACAATATTAAATGGAACTTAGATAGGATGGGATGGTATGGTTTGGATCGATATGGCTCATGATAGGGATCAGTGGAGGGCTCTTGTAAACACGGTAATGAACCTTCGACTCCATAAAATGCTGGAAAGTTCTTGAGAAGATGCATAAATGGCAGGTACTCAAGAAGGACACAGCTCCATGAAGTTAGTTTATTACTAAAACCATAAACTGTTTGCTTAAATCGTCAAGAGGTGGCAGGAAAGTTTATTTCCAATTACATTATGCAATACAGTTGTTCGAATTATACAGTATATTAACTTCACTCTGAGCGCGATATTTCATTCCTATGATGGGACATTTCATTTATATCTAATGTTATTCAAAATTCAACACCAGTGATTATTGAGAGTAGTAACAAGTGGATATTAATTCCGAATCGACTCCTTTCAGGCAAAATTTGGGCGCGATGCCCCTGGGAATTACTGACAAAGGATCACGGTTGTGCGGAAACAGAATGGGAAAGGGCCCCTCCACAAATCTATAGAGACAGTAGCGATTTATCAATTTGACATGGCGGAGGTAGAGGGGGATTATAGTTTTGCTCTAAACCTTCAGCATCTTGTGGCATTACTGACACTGCTCTCCGAGACAATTACAATTTCTCTTATTCCCACAAGCAGTTCCAAGATCAGTACAACTTAACTACCTATTCTTACGTCATAATTTCGAAGCAGACTGAGCAAGAGACATTTTATCATCTGTTCTATGGTCCAAAAGAAAGCATACTTTGATAATGCAGAGCAGTACAGACTGGAGTGGGACAAACAGCACCAAGTAATTCACAGCAGAGAAATAACAAGGTAATGAAACGTTGTAATAAGGCAATAAACATTTGATGGAGACATCAACAAAGTCACTAAAACGGCAACCAATTTGAAGAAACATAGTTTCTATCAAACATACAAAAACTATGCAAGGAGCACTCCAATGAACCATAAAGCGCATGTGAAAAAAAAGGGTAAGCAAGCAGTAAATTTCAATAGATTCAATTTGCCGTCTTTATAAAAAATGTACTGTCACGTGTATGTACTGTGTCTATAGACGGGGTTTGGATTGGTAATCGGATTTACTGCACACTTTGCTATACCGCGTGACTACAATTTACAATTCACTATTACACACACGCACTAGTGTCCACTAGTTCACTAGCCGTTGCTCGGTAACGGCTTTCAACGGCGGACGTACCCCTTCCTCTAGGTTCCCGAACTGTCCCCGTGCGTCAAATGCCAGCTTCTCACAGCAACAGTTATCTAACTCACGGACTCGCTCACCAACCAATTTACTCAACTCAGCTGAGTCTCACTCAGAGTCAGTTACTTTACGACTGGCGGTTCACGGCCAATCGATTCGTCTTGGTGACAAACCCCTTGAGACTCACGACCGGTAATTTTATTTTCCAACTGAATACTTGCGGTCACAGTTCTTATGTAATATCCTCTCTCACAAGAAGATGGGTCTGCGTTCACAATTGCTGCTGGTCCGAGTCCCGCGGGACTCATAACCACATTTTACCGTCTGAGATTTGAGACCCCCCAAACGTGGAGGGCCAGCTCCCCGTATTTATATCCCCAGGAACACGGTGTCCCGGTTATATCCCCAGACACTGGGTTCCCTTTTCGTCGCCTCCTATGACTTGCAGACCTACAGCGGAGGTATTAGGCCCGACTCACACGGGAAAATGAGTCTCACTGTCATTATCATGTCGGCACGGACCGCAAAGTAAACGCCGTTCCATTATTGCTGTGCAATTGCTTCCGTGGAAACATCCTTGTTTGCGAAGCCGTTACTTAGCAAAGGCCGTTGTAAAGCTGCTCCTTTCGCGGTTGTTGCCTAGTAATGGGCCTACATCCCATAGTACCATACTCCAGCTCACTGTGAGAAAATAAATGTAATACTTTGCTACCTTGTGTTGAAAATCACAGATCCGTGAAGAATGGGGTTTGTTAGAAATGGAGCAGAGAACAAGAGACTGTTTCTCGTTGAGTGTATAGATATCTCGTGTTGGCACTCTGAGATTCCTGGTAAAAAAGCAAAGCTATTCCTGTAACAGGCAGTGGAGGCTCCCATGTTTTCTAGACAATCGGCGACCTGGCCTGTAGCACAGAGCCTCAACCCACTATACTACTGCGTCCCCCCCAAAGATGCAGAGAACAGAAATATGAATTTAAGGTTTCCGCTAAACAGAGCACAAAGAGAGATGTAAAGACCACAGGACAAAATTGAAATAGGTTTAGTATTGTACTAATTCATATTCTCCAGCTTGATACAGAATGTATTTACTGCATTTGTACATCGCGTTTTACAGTAAACATCTCTCTATTTCAGACAATCGAATCTCTGGTGAAAAGCATAAGAAGAGAAGCCCACGAGTTGGGAGCAAGGAAGCTTCTGGCACCCAACAAGAATAAGCCAATGACACCAAAAATCGTTGTCAATAACAACAATCACCAGTTTTATGCTCTAAAACCTGAAGCACCAACTGTGAAGAAGTTGCTACTTGCTGCAGCCAGCTTTCTGCAATTATTCCATCACACACACACACACACACACGCACGCACGCACGCGCACGCGCGCACACACACACACACACACACACACACACACACTTGAAGGAAGAAAAGTTGCACAGCCACCCTGCTCCTCAACACAATTTGTCCAATGGTCTGCAAGCTTTCTGATGCCATCAGAAGGAAACTGTTTTGGCTGAATTCAATGCCAGTCATGCTCTGCTTCTGTCACTGACAGCCTCCTTTAGAAGACCAAACAGATGAATTGTCCTGTACGCTGGTTGAAAGCAAATTTGAAATAACAGCTCCGAAACTGTTTCCCTAGTATGTGCAGCAGTAGGGCATCAAGCATTGCCATGCAAGATGAGAACATCTTCAAATAATCTTCCTCTCTGCTTTGTGCGAATGGCAGGCCTCGCTTCACTTCAAAACATGTCAGAATAACTTATATTATTGAGTAAGCTGAATCTTCACTGATGTCTACTGTTAATGCAATGTCCCTTCTGTCCTTGAGAATCAAGACTCTGGCTTCTTCCTGTCATCACTTGCTACCGTGGACATGCACCCAAAGCATTCCGAGTCAGTTACCCTTATCCTGACTTACACACGTCTATCCACTCACAAAAACTTTGTCAAGGTCTCCATATTGAGCACATATGTGTGTGTGTGTGTGAATTTCAACCCCTTTAACAGCTTCTGCCCATACAAAAACGAACCACAACCCTCTGATCTTCTTTGGTGCAAACTGCAAGTGATGCAGACATGTTCTCTGCTTCACTGCTTATTCATTGCATCCATGGTCATGGTGGGCAGTGTATCAACATGTCAACAGGCTATCCTGTAACTTTAAACATTGGAAAGTATTGCAGATAATTTTGTAATTATTCTCATATTGAAGCAGGAGAAGGTGTGGGACTTCGAGCCAGCATAATGCTGAGAACCAACAGATCATGTGATCCACTATAGACAACCACACTTTTTGGAAAAAATGTGTAACTGAAGAAAACCTCAAAATTACTGTCTGTATCGAACATCTCTGACAGTACATCATACCTTGAGTAGACATTATGGAAGAAAAGTGTTGCATGTTCAACGAGATCACCAGCATGCTAATATTCATCATCAGTGTATACTGAAAATAGAATCTAGTTACATTAAAACAATGATCTGTCATCTGATGATGATACAGCTTCAAAGACATTTTAGACAAAGTACACAAGAGGCTCCATAACTACGGTACATGCACATGCTTTCATACTATGGAAAAGGAAAAAATTGTTCCATTTTACAAATTACTGCAAAAGACTATTATCTATATAAATAAAAATGTAACTGTTGGTTTGGTTCTCCTCGAAGATCTCCGAAAGTTCTTCACCGGTTACTTCGAAATTTTGACACAACGTTGCACTCGAACACACGCGTTTTTATATGCCTATTATGTAGATGTCACACCCGTGAGAGGTAAAAACAGGTAAAAGTATTAATTGTATTCAATATTAATATACTGTAACGTGTTATACGTCGAATACCAACAGACTGTTGCCTAGGAACAACCGTGGCAACAAACTGTTGAAACAGCGGGTCGTTGCCTTGGAATAACTGTGGCAACGAACTGTTGAAACAGCGGGTCGTTGCCTTGGAATAACCGTGGCAACGAACTGTTGAAACAGTGGGTTGTTGCCTTGGAATAACAGTCACAACGAACTGTTGAAACAGCACATCGTTGTCTTGGAATAACCGTGGCAACGAACTGTTGAAACAGTGGGTTGTTGCCTTGGAATAACAGTCACAACGAACTGTTGAAACAGCACATCGTTGTCTTGGAATAACCGTGGCAACGAACTGTTGAAACAGTGGAAATAATAATACATTTCTGCGGCAACGAGCACAGAACATGTGAAATGGAACCCTCGGCGAGAGCGCCCTCTATTGCGTCCGAAACCAGGTTATAATAGTCCAGCTCCGAAGAAATTTTCGGCGATACTGGACGTGATAATAATTGTGCTCGCTGATGTAAAAGTGAGCGTTCAATAACTTATTCACTGAATCCGAGACTTGCGTGGAAGTTATTTCGTAAGTATAGTTTATTTTTCGTTGTTTTTCTTTTCGTTTTCTAAGAACAAGCTTAGGTTGTCGTACTCACGGAGCAGAAGCAATGCGTCGAGTAATTTCAAATCAAACTGGGGAAGAACGGGTAGAGTGAGCCACAGCAAGGCGTGGCCAGGCACAGCTAGTACAAAATAAATACAACAGATTCATTAATGCTAACTGGAGTTTTTAATGCAAGACTTGACAACAATAAAACAGAATGAAATATAACTCATTTGATTGAAAGATCTGTTACAATAATGGGGGAAAAATGGATAAAATTATATTCTACAATGATATGAGAGTAATAAATATATTTTTAATACAAATAAACTTTGTCAGCTACAGGCTCATGCCCCATCGCTGATTACATAATTTTCAGTGAAAAGTCACAATAATTCTGCAGCACACAGCACGCCTGTCCAATGTGAACATGACACAGGAAATCAGGCTGGCACTTCTTGCCCGTGAAGGGTTGGGGGCTGACCGCCAGGCTGCAAAAACGTATGCAGCGCTCTCATCCCTGCAGCGGGGATTATACTTATTGGTCCCACAGCACGTTCCTTTAATGGCCTCAACTGAGTTGGAATCTTTCTTCCCTTACATGTGGTGCTGGATGCACATTCAATTTCCAGAACACTGCGTCTGAGGAAACTCAAGGCAACACACACTGTCCAAAATAGTAATCATGCTTACCTTCCCTTCTGCATTTGTAACATACATATAATTGTCATGTATACAAGGTAAAAACGACCAAAAGTATCCTGGGCAAATGAACAGTATATGCAGAATACATAACTAGATAATTAAACAACAGGACACAAAGGACCAAACAAAGCTTACTGTGCATAGCACAACATTTAGACTGCCACTATCATTAACGGAAAAGTTTGGCAATCGACACAACAGTATTTAATTAACAATTGGTTTATTCAGTGGCTACTATATGTTTTGGACCTCAGAGGACAATCATCAGGTAGTTCTACAAATACGTCTGTAGTTAAATGTAGTTAACTACCATGGATCCCTATTGCTGCAATGCATAACAGCCATATAGTACAGTTGTGTATATGCCATCAGGTTAAAATCAGAAATTTCAAATATAAAATTCCTAGAGCATACAACTAGAAAAGCCTTTGGTATGTGAAATGGGAAGCATCAGCTAATCATTAATGTGCATATTCTAAGAACACAGACAACATGTAGAACAGTTACCTGCACTGGCTCGTGTGAGGAGAAGAGGCACTGATTTGCTTGACACAGACAAATAATTGGGAGAACGTTTTGGAGAAGTTCACTGTGACAATCAGATTCAAGCTTCCAAAGTAACACTGATCTGTCCAAAGGCCCAGGTAAGGTAACATAACCAGCGGGGTCTAACCCAGAGGAAGATAATAAGGAACCACCCCCACGCAGCCACCATGGATGTTAAGACATCCAAGTACGATCCTGACATTGCTGAGTATTCTTGCTAGTAGGTGGTGCCCAACTGAGATGGTCAGTGCAGACAGATCATGATTACTGAGCGAAAGAGTTACAGAATTAAGATTATTGACAGGCACCAAATTAGTGACAAATATATGGGAGGGTGGAGTAAGAACACCACAATTGTAAATACTACACACTAGAGGTATTGTAACCACATAACCACAATCTTGTTATTCACGCCCTTATTTTCTACACATGCGTAATTCCTGAAGACGATGTTAAAAGTGGTCTACACATGAATGGGCTGGTGGCAGCTACTATATAGAGAAACTCCAATGTAGTTTGTCTCAATTGTTGGTTTTGATATTAAGTGGTGGTACTTGCGAGATTTGACCTCTTCCCACGTCATCTCAAAGAGTGATGTCAGTGGTTCCACAACAGCCATTATTTTGGAACAGAATATTCTTTTTCAAATTCTGATCTCTGTTTGTTGAGTTCAGCTACAAGAGATGTTATTAAAGGATGTGAAAATTTACCAGCAGTTGAGTCAAAGAATTCTTGAAGGCCATGTGGTCTACTTTCAACTGTTTCATATTCAAACGCCTGAAGAATCATATCAAATCTGTCCAATTCTTTCACTAATTTTGCTTCTGGTGTCTTCTGTTCTTCATATTCCTGTTAAGTACACACATTCACAAATTAGTAAAATGATCATATTCACCTGAATATGAGAAATACAAACATATACACAAAGATACACACTGAGCAGACTGGTCTAGTGTTAATGTTCTGGACTTGTATCTGGGAGGTGGTAATTTCAAACTTCAGTCAGGCCACCAGCTATACAGACTGAGGTATTTCATTGTTTTCTTTTCAGCCCATCCAAGCATATGCCAGGACAGTACTTCATTTAGGTCATGGCTGCTCCTTTCAGATCCTTTCCCATTTCTCAGTCATCGTACCACCTGATGCTATAGACATGGCAATTCGTAAGTCCCTCCGGGATATCCAAACTCTGCAGTACAGTAGCTGGAATGGTCACGATGGGTAACAGCTTGATATTGCTCGAACTCTCTTTTACTAAATATAGAAACCCTGAATTACATTTCTGATAACATACACAAACACATGTTACATGAACGTTTTTCTGGGAGGGACTTTAAGCTGTGGGTCCCGTGTCGTAGATTTACGGCACGTAAAAGATCCTCATGTCTCTAGGAGACCTCTGAGCAAAATTAGGCAAAGTTTCCCGCCCAAGTAGTTTCCAATGTCTCCGGTAGATGGGGAAGTATCAGGAACCACTGCCAGCCTTGCTGGCTGAGTGGGGCTGATAGTGAGCACCAATACCGGAAGGGTATGGCGACTGGTAGAATATCAAAGGGGAACATACAATAGACTACTAGTCGCGGTGCATGGGGAAACCTACCCCCTCCAATAATAATAATAATAATAATAATACATGAACCTTTTTGTCTCTTCTGTCCTGTTGATTTGAGAAGTTGGGTCAAATAAGTAGCATTCCTTTATTTCTGTTGAGTCCCGATGCTTAGTATGGATGACCGATATTTTCTCACATACACTGTTACCCTCTCCGTCGCATTATCAATAGGCAACAACAATATTCCCATTATACTTCTCAGTTACATTTGCTGTTACTTCCATACCCTCCCAGAGAATGGTAACATGCCATGGAGGCAACATTATTTCAGCATTCGACTTAAACATAGTTATTACAGTAGGTACTTGAATTCACACCCACTGAATAAACGAATCTGTCAGGGTCACTATGATTTGAAATGATGCTATACACAACAGGCATATCTGTTCCTGTCCCATCCCCTTCTGTCATTCCCTTCCTCCTACACAAGTCCAAAATTGGAGTCCCTACCAGTAACTGCTGTTCATGCACCAACAGTTATGAATATCCAGAGCAAAACAGTTCAACATTCGTTCATTAATTAATTAGATTAATCACTTCAGTGTTCAAACTGAAAATTGCTAAGAATAGTTTGCGACTCATGCTATGTACCAATATTAGAAATGCGCTAAAAACTTTTACCTTATACAGACAATAGAGTTCAGTGCCACAAGATCCTGCCAGTTGTGCTAGTTCCTGCATTGCGTTATCTTCACGCCGATGTTTCTCCTCTGGAGCTACTCCACAGCATGGAGTGATATCACCCACAATGCATTCAGCAAGATCATGCACCAAAGCAAGCTTCAAGCACCTTACAGAAGATTTCATCAATTAGTGTTCAATGTGCAAGTACTACGAGGGTGTCCCACATCAACTAACATGCAACTGTCTGACAGTAGGAAAAATCAGGTCCTGAGCCCAAGATGGGACTTGACATAAAGAGAGACTGGCTGACTGACTGTCAGTCATAACATAACTTTGACTGTTGCTGTTAATAGGTGGTGGCTGAGGCCAGAGACAGTTCAAGAACCAAAAGGAAGGGGAACACCCACTGTTGGAACTACCAAGCAATGGCTAGAAGAAACTGTTATAGACTGAGAACACTAGTCTGTGTGTGACAGTGTAAAGTGCAGTCATGAGTTGTGTGTTTAAGTGTTCAATAAATCTGATTACCAATCCCCACCATGTCTACAGTCTATAGACACACAATAAAACAAAGAGTTCAACATAATGCAGGCCTGTGTTGGACAGCTTTAGCCTACTACAGCATGGCATGAGAGCTAACTTCGAACCCAGAGCAGTATGAGCGCAGAATAGTGCAGGGCCAGATGTGACATTCTAGAAAGCTCAGATGGCCGAGCAAGATGGTTATATGGAACAGCACAATGCAATGTCTGGAAGCTAAGCACACAGTCAGCAGATACTCTGTATCACCATGGCCACCATCATTCAAGGTCATGAGGACATGTAATGCAAAGATGAAATGGAGAAACAAAGAGTATTAACTCTGGATTCCATATTATTTTGTACCATAACTTCTGGGCTCTGTACTCTAAATGGGATAAAAACATAATTTATAATAATATAGGGTTTGAAGCTTTCAGTAGTGAAGATTAACACTTGTACTGTGCAAAGTGCAATGTACTCTGGTAAGAGTCTACTGATGTTCTGGAGGAATACTGGTAGACTTCCACTGGATTGCAGTGTTAAACCCACCAGACTATATTCTTCATAATCAACGCTGTGATAACCTCAAATTCGACATTCATACTATGGTCCTCTCAATTATGACATCACGTATTTTGGTATGTGGGTACCAACACATCAGAAGAACATCCTGCCTCCAACATATTCCTCTGAAACACTAGTACCTACCTATGTTACTACAAGATATCATAACTCAGACGATCACAACATTATTATAAGTCCTGACTGACTTACATGATATCACAATAAATAACAGTAATAAAAAATTACATACACTGTGACAAACTATAAAAATGAATAGCGAGATACCAAATTAACCTGTAAAGCAGAAATACAAATTAAAAATGCTGACAGTTTTAAGATAAATAAAATATTATCAAAATGTCTTATTCTTGATAAGAATTAAACAAACCTTCCTTCCACCATGAGTTATAGGTCCATAAGTACACAAATACATATTCAACTAAATCATAATTGATCATGCTGCAGAAGATTTAATTCTTGATCATAACAGGTATATCAACGTGAAAATAAAAGAGTGAATTCTTTCAGCAAAATACTGTGGTTTACAGAAAAACCAAAGGAAATTCTTGATTAAGTTTTGTCTTCAAATCAGGTTTGTTTACCCTCTTAATGTAGTGCCCTATTACTCACACAACACAATTTTGAAGCATATGTTAAACATGTCAGTTAAGCTTTAATACTGATCAGTCATTTTGACTTCTTATAAATGTGAATAAACATCAACTAACATTGAATAGTTGCATGTGAATTTAATGTTTGTTTATTATACAGGGGGTGGGAGAGGGCGCAGTAGTGTAGTTGGTTGAGGCATTATGCTACAAGCTGGAAGGTCGTGGGTTCGAGTCCCGATTAGGTGGATTTTTTCGATTGACCTAATCCTTCCAGCCGCACTATGGCCCTGGGGTTTACTCAGCCTCTTAACAGAAATGAGTACCAGGAATCTTCCTAGGGGGGTAAAGGGCAGCCGGGGCATAAGGCTGACAACCTTACCGCCATCTGTGAGCCAACTGTCTAGATAACATGGGATCCTCAGTGTTTCACAACCCTACGGGTCTCCATGGATTGTTATAGAGATAGTTTTATCTTGATTATACAGGGACAGCTCATTAGTCTCCAAACATCTCTATAAGAAATAAAACATCGAGGAAAACATGACAAAATATATTACGAAGACCATCTCAACTATATTCTATTCTATTCTATTCTATTCATTGACATTATTCAAATACAGTAAAACCTGGTTATAGCAACATCGGTTTCTGCGACACCTTGTCTATTGCGTCAAATATTCAATGGTATGAACTAATTCCTCATAAAGCAACTGTTTTTATACCTTGCTTAGTACGACATGCACAAATGCATCAACCTCGTATGTAACGTCATTTTCATTCCTGAATTTCTCTGATATGGACATTGAACGTAATTTAGAAAGTGTGTATTGGGCAAGTAACAGGAAACAGATGAAGATAACTGATTACTGTACTCGTATCTAGGTACAGTAAGGCACAACAATTGATGTAATCTACTGTAATTTGGTGAGTAGGCCTACCTTTAATATACAGTATTAGTGCGGTGTGTATTGTCAGTGAAAAGCGCTGTAATATGTCTTTGATATTACACATTTGGGCAATTCCACGTTAATGTTACGTTAGTCTGTACTTAACTATGTATTTCACTAAAAAATGCAACATTTTAACTCGGTTTTTGGTAGATTTTTACGTGATTAACATACGGCTACTGTGGAAGTGCCCATTTCGGTTACAACGACACTCGTTTATAACGACACTATTTTTAGGTCCCTTTGATGACGTTATAACCAAGTTCTACTGTACTTTTAATATTTAACATTTTAGTTTTCAGCTTTTAACCTTATCACATTACCAGAAAGTCAAAACTACACACCCAAACATTTAAAAATTCAATATTTAATTCATGAAGTTCACTAATATATCATCATCATCATCATCACTGGCATGACAGCCCTTTGTGAGCGCTGGCCTTCCTCAGGATTGCTCGCCATTCTTCTCCATTCGATGCTACATTCCTCCAGTTCTTTACACCCAAAATTCTTATGTCCTGCCACACACATTCTTCCCATCTTAAACTTGGTCTTCCCACTCTCCTATTTCCTTCTGGTTTGGTGTTAAGCGTTTTCTTGATGGTTCTATTCTCGCTGGCACATATTATGTGTCCAGCCCATTCAAGCCTTTACACCTTTATAAATCCAATAATGTCTGGTTCATTAAATAGTTTGTATAGCTCATGGTTATACCTCTTCCTCCATATTCCATTTTCTTCCACTGGTCCAAAGATATATCTCAAGATCCTCCTTTCAAACATAGTTAACAGTCTTTCATCCAATCTTGACAGTGGCCAGGTCTCAGAGGCATAAGATAGCACTGATCTTATAAGTACTTTATACATCATAGTTTCGGTTTTCCTGGGTATTAGTTGGGTTTTCAGGTGTTTCCTAAGGCCATGGAGACATTTATTTGCCGCAAGTACACGCTTTTTTATTTCATCACTGATATCATTTTTACAGTTAACTTCTGATCCAAGGTAAGTGAAACTACATACAATCACTAATATATGAGTCCAATAATTCAGCGATGACAGTCATGTTTTTATTGTAGCCACATGATGGTGATCACACTGATTGAAACATGCAGTGGCGTACAAAATAAAACAGTATTAACATGTTAACATAAGTTTTATTTACTTATAAACTATTGTGTTGACAGCCACATTAATAACCCCCTGATAATACACAACACGATGCAAACAATAAAGATGACAAAAAGGTAGTCTTAATTATTCATTTAATAAAAAATAATGTATCTGAAATATGAAATTCGTTTCTCACATTAGATAACATTTCATTTTCTCACAACCAATTTGAGGAGTACACCATTTCTACCAAACAGGTCTATTTAACTGTTCACTATACACTTTCACAATATTGCTTCTAATTCCAGATAACTGATCCATGGTCCAAAATTGTAGAGGAATGGTAATGAATTTACTTTAATTACCACAGCAACAGCAGAAATATTTTGAGTGATGCATTGAAGCAGCTGAGCATTTTCATCAAGTTATATAAAATAACTGTATTCATAAAATCAGCAGCATGTAACAAACAAATTGTACTACCACATCTGTGAAGGTCTTCTTGATTAACAGTGTCATGTGATGGAGTGAGCACAGAGGGGGTTCGAATTGGTAATAAGATTTCCTGAACACTAAAAGCTTGTAACTACAAGTAAGGATTATGCTCTCATTGTTCTACACACTTAAAAAATCAAGAGGACACACTAGGTCTTCTCAGTCGGTTACAGCCTTCATTAGCCGTTGCTTGGTAGCATCTCCCACCGGCAGATGTTTCACTTCCTCTGGCTTCCCTAACTGCCCCAGCCTCAGCTATCAGCTTCTCACAGTGACAGCCCACAAGAACTGAACCTCAGCAGTTCTCTGACTGACTCACTAACCACCTAACTCACCAACCAACTCTTCACTAATGCAACACCTCAGTATGGACCACTCAGAAAACACCATTCCTCTGTAGCAGTGTAACTGCCACTGTGTAAACATGCTTGTTTGCAGAGCTGTTACTCAGCAATGCCTGTTGTACATTTGCTTATTTTGCGACTGCTACCTAGCAATGAGTCTACATGCCACTGTAATAATGGTTTTCTCTTTTTTACTGATGAAACCATGGTCTGGTCTAGGTTTTCAATGGTGTTTGACTACATGACTCATTTTACTTAAAAACTATAGCCCCAGTGTTGGTAACAGCAGCTAATTATACTGAATGTTGTCCCCAACATTTCATGACTTTGCTTTCCACTATGTGACAGAAGAAAAAATAAAGTTACTGTCAGTATCAGGAATATATAGCATCAGATGACAGTATGATCAGTGACTGTGAAGCAGTTGGTGGAATGATAACTAGTAGGGGGAACCAACATATTCAGAGAAACTGTTTACATACCCTTTTCCACCAATAATGCAACTATTTATTTTCACATTTGTTTCCACTATTAACACAACATGATTCGCCCCCAAACAGCCATCCTCAGGTGTTCCATTATGCCAACCTGTTACACCGCACTGAGTATCGTCTATTCCATATGTGCATAACTGAACATACTGTAATTAAAATGTTACAATTGCACTCAACTGCTGTGCATTAAATCTTTATGTTACAATTCATCCCATTTAAATTCAATTAAAAATCGTTAAAATTTCTAATTATATAAAAACTCATATTTCCACTTCATAGGAGGCGTCATCCACTTGTCTAAGCAATATATCCTCCTTTGGTTATTTACTTTGTAGTGGCAAGCCCACTGTTATGTTTTGTCTGCAATCTGTAATGTGTAAAAACCCACATAATGATATTGTTTTTGATATTGTTATTAGTGTTATGTTTTGTGTGCAGTGTAGCAGGTTTGGCATAATGGAACTCCTGAGGATGGCCGTTTGGGGCCAAAACATGTTGTGTTAACAGCAGAAACCAATGTGGAAATAAATAGTTGCATTATTGACAGAAAATTATAAGTAAACAGTGAATATAGTAATGCAACAGGATACACTGATTGTTCTCAGTGAAAATGTGCCCTAGTGTCACTTAGCTGACAACATATCCCACGTGACCTGACCTGAAAGCAAAACCTAGGCTGCCATGGTGGAAAGTTGGTGACTAACTGCCTTTTATGGCATGACAGACACATCTATTTATTTTGGCTCTAAATGAAAGTGTTCTTCAGAGAGACAGTTTTACATAATTCAGCTGCGGCTGCAATACAAGGATCACCATTTATCTCCAGTTACAGTTGAGGTCTATAACTTGGGAAGCTTCCCCTTGTGTCTTTTAATCCAACAAGAGATTCAAAGTTACTGTTTCTAGCCCATGTACATACATGGCTTTACATACACAGCTGCTACATGGTCTGTGTAATACTTAATTCTTTATCACACAACACAATCCATTCCGTTCTGACTGACAGGTTGTAAATCGATCTGGTCCTATGTCGGCGATATATTTATTAACAGTCTTTTTTAACATTTCTAATCTTTCTATCATCTTTATAATTTATTTTTAAAAACTTTTACATTTTAATCATCTTTTATATTTCATTTTAAATACAGTAATGTAATGTAATCCTGATTTATAATTAATTAATTAATTAATTTTTTTTTCTTTTGTGGTCGTAAGTCGACGACCAAGTGTATTACTTTCTCATGAAGGTTTCATATAAAAGAAAATCACTAAAATACATTTAGACATGTCCACTTCTAAAGGACTGTAAAATCAAATATTAATAATGTACACACAGAAGCATGTCTGTGTAACCATTTTTCAATAGTAGGCCCTATGGATTTCCATTATCCACACAAGTCGAATATCATCTGAAAATTCCAGGGTACAGGGAACTTTAACATTTTAAGATGAAAGAAATGTATCATCCAGAAATCTCTGTATGTTTGTGAGTTACCATTGCACTGGTTTCACATCAGTCAAACCATCAAACAATAGTTATTACAGATTTCTTGCATTTCTCATGTTAGTTTACAGTTTACACAAACATGGTCATAACACAACCTGCACTATTTTCTTCTATTACCACTGGACAAACTTTCAGGGGCATCTCACCTCAATATTTTGCATATATGCTACAAATTAAAAAGTAAGGCTATAGGGTCATCCAACAAAATAATATCCATATCAACTCTGTTAAGGGGATCAAAACTTGTATTAACAGAGGATGGACATAAAATCACCCCAGTCACAAGCCCCTCCACTGGCCCAAGCTTGGTTCTGATAGTAAGCTACAGGTTTGTATTCAGATAATATGGTTACGATTCTTAGTCACATCAGATCCCGATGTATGTGAAATGTCTGTCATTTTCAATCAGCTAAGGCAGGTAACGCAGCCTAAGATTTCATTAAAAGCCCAGAAGTCTTCCAATTACCACGGAACATTCACTACACATCACTTGCATGAAGGCTACTTGATAGTGGAGGGACAAATCTGTGATAATGAAGGTACTCTAAATGAAGCAAGATTAATCCTTACCTGACTTTGTCAAAACTCTTATCATCATCTAGAAGAAAGGTCATAATTCCCATTCTGTACATATGTCCTGCAATACGTTCTGGATCCTCAACATGGCACAAAACCCAGCCAGTTCGTTTTATGTTCTGAAAATATCAGGTTCATCACATATGGTCACAGGTAAGAATTGCTTCATACTCTTCAGATGTTCATGATTTTAAGATTTGACTGTTTGTTACAATGAAGTCAATTTTCATTACCATCACAACTCCATTTTATTAAAGAGATAGCAGTATCAGATGAAAAGGAAATTACAACAGATATTCCTTGCTATACGAAAATTTGAAAAATGAAATTTAATTTTAATGTGTTCAACTGGTTTAGGTTGATTTCAATTAGCAGCACTTATATTAATATGGCTGACTGAGAGAAGCAGACAAAGGGAGTAGTGTGTTTTGTGGGTGGCAGAACATTAACAGGATGGGGGAACGAAGAAATTGTTCAATTCATGTGATTTCACCCTCTGCGAATTCTTTTGGAATATAATTGTTGCATAAGTTGAGGAATATCTGTAGGTTATAGTTTAGCATGAATTTATACTACAAGTAGTGTTGTATATTTACACTGATGTTCCATTATACCTAAACACACGAATATTCTACATCACATGTTGTACACATGAATGAGTGTGGGGGTAGAGGCAATTTATTACTAGGAGTGACGAAAAATTCTTAAAACCCAAAATTCCTTAAGAGTGAAAACACAGTCATCAAACTTTTAAACGACTTGAAGAAGACAGCGTTCAAGGTTTGAGAAGCTGCAACTGTGTTTTACTGATACTGGTGAATTATTCTATTTTCAAACACTAACGTTAAGCTTCTTTAGTGACATACAGTTATTATCCTGGTGCAGGTTAGGTATGCTTATGCAAACCCGGTGAATTATTTGCATCTAAGACTACTGTCTGTAGTTCGAGATATCTTATCCTTATTACCTAATTAAATTACTAGTTTTATGTCTTCGTTAAAAACGACATACTGACTACCTTTAATTTTCCTACTAGCTGAAGGAACTCTAAAAGATTCGCACAATTGCCTGCAGCCATTATTTTGAATGTAAAACCGCCTTAGTACCTTCTCTGCCGCTCTCGGTCGTTCTCTGTGCTTGGCAAAGAGTACTGTCAACAAACAGTGTGACTAGATGTACTCTTTTTCCGGGACAGGTCTACCTTATATGGGCCCTTCTCGATGTCTGGACCGGTCTGGACTCCTTCCTATTAAATTTATAAAATGTCATACTTTTTAAAATTTCATTCTCTATACCGAAAACCTTCAATAATACCTTCTTGCAGTATTTGAGTTTCTCTCTGCTTCTCACCTGGTTTCACGATAGTATATGGATCTGCTCATTCTTCGACCCTGACGACAGCGATATGTTCCTCCGAAACGTCAGTTGACTTTTAACGGACTATAGGACGTTATATCCCAGAAGACTGTGCTCTTCAAAATCTTATTTTAGAACAACTGTATGTACAAGAAAGCTTACTTCGGAGCGGCGGTGAGTGATCTAACAATTACAGTCCGCCATTTGTTTTTGAAATCGTAATCGTTGCAAGCGGCAAGACTGGAATTGAACTGTCACAAGATGGCTATAATTACGGATGCCATGAGACAACTGTCCCCACGAATTTATTTTTGCATTCATAGATGTTTTCTAGCGTTTTTTGGTAATAAGCTAAGTAGCTGCACTTCCTAGCGGAAAAGGGAATCCAATTGCTGTGTTCGTTCACATGCATTGAAAGTTTTATTATGCAATTGTAAGTGCGGTTTTGTAGTTTTCGACACATTTGTGTCTGTATGTTCCTAATGTACAAGGATAATCACAGATTTCCTTGATGCTTCACTGATAACATGCCAAAGAGTGAGCGCCAATTTGACGGTGAATTTCAATCAAAATGTCCTTGCTTCAAAGCTGGGAGAACCGAAGATGAAATAGATGTATAATATGCCAAACGGCTTTTATGTCTGTAGCAGTGAAAGATTTGTAAAGACATATCAAGATTGCCAAGCACAAGAAACAAATTGTCAGTTGTCAACTTACCCCAAAGGCCACAAAATTCAATAACAGAAGAATGGGTAATCTTGACTGAAGGAGCATTGTAATGTCATACTATAAAACATCACTTATCGTATAGACCTACAGACTGCAATTCCAAATTAAACCAAGTTAGCGTGTGTAAGAACAAAAACCGAAGCCATCATAAATAACGTGCTTGCTCCAAATTCAGTAGCTATGGCAGTTCAGGATTTAAATGAAATAATTGGTTTAGGTGTTTCTATAGATGGCCGCAATCATGGTTCACTAGAACTATTTCCTGTTGTGATCCATTATTCATATGTTAATGGTATTAAATCAAAACTGACAGATGTGAATGGCACATTAAAAGAAAAATCTGAAACGATATCAAAACCTGAAAGACCATGGGCCTTCTTACGAAGTGTGTTGCATTCTCTGGCGAAAACATGAATATTTATGATTCTTTTGGAGGACTCAATCGCTCTGGAAATAAACACGCCTTCCACGTCTTGATATATAAATTATATAATTAGTTGGTGCTAGATATCCAATACATATACTTCACAACTATATACAGCCTGGAGTACAAAGCCTGTGGATGTAGAACACATCATAATAAAGATTTAGAATCGTTTCTCTATACACAGAGTAAGGGCAGACTAAAAAATGACTGCAGAAAGCTGTTCATTTTATGAAAGAAACTTGCTTTGTTTAAAAAGTGGTGTGTTTTCTGAAGCGGGCAGTTTCTTGTAATTAATTTCACTGTTTTTGAATAATTAACTTTCATTTAGTGACATTCGGTGATTACATGAGACTGAGATGTGCTGTTGGATGTAAAATGTTTTCAGCAGCTCTGCAACCAAAAGATCTTGGTGCAAAGTATTCAGAACAATGAAGATTTCAAAAGTGTGGCAGATCCTGACAGATGGGTTAAATGCTTTCAGAAGATGGTATCTGGGCCACTGCCATAACAACGAAATAGATTATTATGATTTTAATAAAATTGATTATATATATATATATATCAGTCAATTCTATTTGTCTTGTTACACTACATGTTTCAGTCCATGGACCATCATCAGGCATAAATAACACATATCGTTACTTAATTTTTTTAATTTCATTGGAGCTTCGTTTCATTCATTTCACAAAATTTAATTTCATCAGTTGAATTTCTGGGACGTAACTCCCAGCACTCCAACCAGCCACATCCCAAACACATCACAGCAGCATCCTCATAGTTCAGGATGACTCTGAAATGTGTGGACAGACTCTGGTGGTGAACTCCACATACCAAAACAAGTTCATATTAACATGGGCCCACAGATGTTTTCTTTCCAAGTTACAGGCCAGCAAATTTAGCAAACATTCAACTGATATTCTGTTTCCATGACTCTTGCAGGGCAGCAAAAGCCTGCGCCAACACCCTTAACCTACAGTTGACATACAAACATGTTCCTAATGCCACTATCATCATTAGTTACAGTTAAGTTACAGCACAGGAGCAGTGCTGGTACTGTGCATTGATTGTATGCAGTGGAAAACTGTACAAGAGCTGCTACAGCATGCTGTAACATGTAGTGCGAAATTCTAACTTTCCTGTGCTGTGTTATTGTGATTACTGCAGTGTGAATGGGTATCCATTTACTGAACAGAGGAATAAGCATCTAATGTATTATGTTTTCGGACATTATCCACATCCTATCTTTATCCAAAAACACCATCCTGTCTATTTTTCAAAACACAAGTTTTGGAGACTGGATTCTGTCCCCATCTTCAGGTAAAACCTACTAAGTCAGGCCCAATCGACAGAGCTAGTCCCTATCTCTGAACCACTTTTAGAACTTATCTAATGTATTGCCGTGCAAATGACAATGGATGGAGGGTTGGGGGCTGCTACCAGGAAATGTTCCCACACCAATCACCCAAACCATAAAACATTTGCAGCCATTGATCATCGACTTGGACAGACTGGACCAGTTACACTTTTGTCAACTGAGAAGATGAGAGCTCTATATAGACACCTGACATTGAGGGACATGTCCTGGACAGTGCCGAAGAGAATCCAAGTGTCAGCATAAGAAAAACAGTGACAGAGTTACATGTTGTGCAAATGACCATCTGGAGAGCAATGCATGAGCAGTTGTGTCTGTGCTTAACTAATTAAGCACAATGGCATGAAAATATATGAGGGCTTTGAAGTATAGATCCAAGTTTTCTTGACCTCGGCACTGGTTGGAGGTGAGTGGTCAGCTTCACATTTCAGCTGCTTGACCCCAAGGAAGGAGCACCTAGCTCCCATTTGATAGGAGGCTGTGTGGGCTCCAGAGCCAATCCAGATGACGTGGAGAAAATTCTAGCACCTACTAGGACTCACACTTCAACCTTCTTGGTCTTTCAGCCCGTAGCTAGCTGCTATAGTGACTGAGCTATCCAGGCTTCCTGAGTTACTGTACCTACACCGTTTACAGCAAGTCCAGAGTAAAGACTCTTAACGCAGCAATAACATGCAACTCATACAACCAATGGGCATGCAAAAAACATATAGACCGCAATGACAAACTACTACCAAAACTTCTAAAACTGAACAGTAACCAGAAAAATATTATATAACACAACACATTATTTACACATTACAGACAATACCCACGCCGCTACAAGGGATGCAGCGCAACAGGACCCAACATCAGCAGATACTTCTGACACCAGTTGTCACGTGTTGGGTATGCCACAGGATAAATAACTTCATGTGGCTCTCGGATTTAGCGAATATTTATTGGTCACTCACTCTTACACACCATACAATTATTGTCACTTGCAGTATCACCTGACTTCTGGCCCATTACTCTAATATGACGTCTCAACTATCCTTGGCCGTGGTTGGATCTCAACTGTCTCTTGCGGCAGCTTTCTGAAGACTGTCTTCTTCTATATCGTATAGCATCTAGATTCCAACTAGCTTGGCGAATGCCTTCAACACTTTTTATAACCTGGGCCACTGCTATATAATGAACCCTCGTTATAACCATGAACGCTCATCTCCGGGGAGATTCGGTGTTCTCTATGCAACGGTTCACTGTTGGGATTACAGTACCGCTATTGTTACTTCCTACGCAATGATTTGTTCTAGCGTTTCCATGGAAGTAACTCTTCTGGATTCCAAACATGTGACAATATTTCAATGAATGGCTGGTGACTACAATGAAAAAAATATTTAAGTTCTGATTCTATGTTTTAATTATATTTTAATTAATAATAAACATTGCGTTCACACACAAAATGTAATCTTTACATTGGAACAATTCTGGCATGATAGACTTGCACCTGATGATGGTCGTATACAGCCGAAACATGTAGTAGTAGGACAAGATAAGTTGCATCCGAGACAGAAATACACGTATATAAGTTCATACATTAAAGCAGCAGGATGCCTAAATATAATATTATGTAGACCACAGACCAGTGTAAGACCAGTCCAAAGCTATAAAGAAAAGCCCCTTAATGCCGCCGTCTGGGTGGATCTTCCACAACTATTGAATTACACAAAATGTCATATCCAGTCCGATTGTGCCTGAGGATGAAGAGTACAAAAAAAATTGGGAGTAAGACTGCAAGAACCAAATTCTTAACAAAAGCACGGGAAAATGCCCAGCCCACGCCAAGATCAGTTCCAGGATATACTGCAACAACATCCAAAGGTCTTCCTGGAATCTGGGTCACCTTTGTGCAGAGAACAACACGAATTCCCATCATTGTCTTTCCTGGAGTTGCTCCTCCATATCCACCCATGCCACGATGCAGCCAGAATGTCTGTAGACAAAGTCAGAGAGAAGTACTTACAGCAGAGGAGAGGACATGTCTTTCAGCATACAACGAAAGTGGAAATGCATATCACAGTGGCCTTTACACTTTTTCCATATACAAATCTACTGATGCAAAATGTATCACACTACACAAAAACACTGCATACTTACAAATAATTATCCTGGTATTTCATCAAACCATTATCATCATCATCATCCATCCTCCAGTTAGGCCTACTGTGAATGTGCCACATATCCTGAGTACCACCTTTGTGGCCTTCTCGTGTGAACAGTAACCTGTTACATCTGTTTATGAACGCAGCTCTTAGGGCACGTATCCCTTGTTCCTGCCCCCACATTACTCTCATCCCTAGGCGAGGGCTGGCTCTGAGTTCAAGTATGACTGCCTACATAGTGTGCTATGAAGGATGATCTTTCCAAATTAGTGTTCAGTTTATATTTCTAAGATAGTTTTGGACTTAATTACTTCCTTCCACCACTGGGCAGGTGGCCCACATTGCATATATTCCAAGTGAGTTGTCCTTTTGAATGGGTTGTAAGCCCCTGATTTTAGTCACATGATAATCAAGATGGTATCTCTGGTTATATTTGGAGTTGTATTTGTTATTTGTAGTTTGATTGTGTTTTTAAAAGATAAGGTCCATGGTTCCATTTTGAAAATGCTAAGGTAGCATAGTTGGTTGAGGCACTATGCTACAAGCCAGAAGGTTGTGGGTTTCGTTCCCGATGAGGTCACTGGATTTTTCAATTGACCTAATCCTTCCAGCTGCATTAGGGCCCTGGATCCGACTCAGCCTCTAACAGAAATGAGTACCAGGAATCTACCTGGGGCGTACTGGTGAGTAAGGCTGATAACCTCACCACCATCTGTGAGCCAACTGTCTAGAGAAAATGTGGGAGCCTTGATGTCTCACAACCCTATGGGCCTCCACAGCCTGTTACAGGGATAGCTTTACTTTCTTTCTTTTTTAAATAAATATCTTAAACTCTCTGTGGTAAGACTTCAAGTTTTATTTTTATGAATAGACTTCTATGATTGGCAGCACTCATGTGGTGGACACAGCAGTAAAGTTTTGATGCTCCACACAAGAAGCTAATTACACGATGAAAGAAAATTAAAAAATATGTATATCAATGAAAACTGAAATAAAAAATAAAACAAAATTAATATGCAAGTGCTACACTTAACCTGACCATGTAATTAAAGATATTTCATACAAGAAACAGTCCTTCACAAAGAAACACATCTGAACAACATGAAGCTGAAAATGATATATGGGAAATCTCACTGTAACCAACCAAAACATTCAGTCACTCACTGTGAAACAAAACCATTCTCACCACCCAGCATACCCATATAACCAATACCGACATGGGACCCCATTAACCAAAGAAATCGTTCTGCAATATGACATATACAGTGTGGTCATCTGAGAGTCATCCGTAAACTGTTTGGACACTCAGTCATGAAAGACAGCTGCTGCTGCTGCTTCTGCTGGTGTTCACTCAGGCCAGCTGGTAGCAGACTCAACAAACAAAGCAAATGTAGTAATGAAAGTCAACTATCATCCTAGCTTTGGTGATGATAAAAATTAGATCCAGTGACTTGTAATATTCCCAACAGAATCTCATCTGACAAATTTCCATTTTTATGTGTCTACCAACATTCCTCTTCCTTTGTAAACCATAATCAGAACTCTCTTTCAGATATGATTTTCTTCTATTCTACCAACATTCTAACACTATATATTGCTGTAGTCTGAAATTCTATCTAATTCCCTTCTAATATCTTCACTCCTCTTCTGATGTTCATTATCCATCTACCTCAAGGCACTGACTGTCATGGGCCAATTAGATTTGCTTGTGTACTCGCATTAAAACTGCCAGATTCAAAGAGATCGGCTGAATGTTAATCACTTAGCACATTTCTGTCAACAGATGGCATCAAGTGTGATGTACCAATACTTAGAGCAAAGAACAGGCTTGCTTGCCATCTGTATCTGTGGTTATTTAAGGTAATATTTGAAGGTACTGTGGGCCATTTTCTGGAACTGCGTTATCCCAAAATGACCTTGGCAAATCTAGTAAGTAACTCAATGGTTGGGCTTGGCAGTCAAATGGTTAAGAGTAGCACTACTGTGAGAAATGTTACGAGCAAGCCGCCTACCTTCATTACAACCATATTATAACATACTGTTCATCATTATCACCAGCAGCATGGCTTAGATTCTGTCAGTCAATACAAGAATACAGAACATAAGATATAGTGTCAAGCAAACATTAAAATACAGAGATATTGGGTTTCCGGACTTTATCCATCGTCCTGGTTTTTAAGGTAACTAAGAAAAACACTACGTTTCGGAAACTGGACCCAAGAGAATAGGTGTTTTCCCTCACCTGAGGACAGAAACAGATCCAGTTTCTGAAACGTCATGTTTTTCTTAGTTATATTAAAAACCGGGATGATGGATAAAGTCTGAAAACCCAATATCTCTGTGTGTTATACACCATCGTCAGAATCCTATAGAAACATTAAAATATACACCAGAAACATGATCCTGTAACATATGTACAAGACTGGATAAAATCAAGAACAAAAGTATAAGGAATGAATGACAGAATAAGAAAATACAGACAAGACTGTCTTGAACATGCGGAAGGATGGAAGGATAAGCGCCAAAGTAGGATCTTTAGTATAGGCTCCAAAGGAAGAAGAGATCCTTGTAGACCATGCAGAAGGTAAAATTCACAGAAGCTGGAACAGGCTGTCAGCCTAATCCTTGAACTCGAGGAGAAGGAGAAGAAATGGGAGTTAGGAGGAGGTGGCTGCTACAGCTCGGTGGGGTACATACCTCAAATATGCATACAACTATTCTGTGTATGAACTCCATTAACAAAATCTCCGATGTCATCTCCAGTGCCATCTTGTAGTCAAGCTTAAAATTTCGTTGCAGCACAAATGGAACATATTTGTCCAAATTACTGAAAAGAAAAATCAATATTTTCTGTCCAGATTGGGGATGAAATGTTGCTGATTCATAACATTTTGACTGTTCATCAGATAACAGAACAAATTATATGAAGCATGATTACTGAGATGGGCTTGAAGAAAGACAAAACAAATACATTTTTTTCAAAAACAAATCTCTCGTGTTTGCCTGGAAAGGGGTGCATCAGTATGGTAACACTCACACGAAATGAAAGGAGTCCGCAACCACAAATGTAACAGTCAACTTCAGCAACAACAATATTAAGAAATCCAGGAATTCTGCAGCAAACCTCTTCCAAAGGGGAGGTATTCTATACTCGATACCTAAATGAAGAAAATTAAAACACATTTAATTATCAATGCCATACATAATCTGGCATATCATCACTTAATATAACAGAAATTTTACATTCAACACTAACCATTCTCTGGAACTGTATTTTGCTGATGTTGTGTTGGTCTGATTGCTGCAACTTGTGGCCTTCGATTATGAAGCACATCATTGTTTTGTAAAGATGGTATGTGCAGAAATGCGCTTGTCCCATTTTGACTTCCTCCAAAATGCTGTGCATTCAGTGCACCAGAATAGCCAAACTGATTTGTCATTAAAGCATATGGAAGTGTTGCTGTGATGCTCTGCCACATATAGACATTATGTAACCAATTCCTGAGTGCAACAAAATACTCTTCAGCATTTGCATATGTTTGAGATTTGTCTTTGCCTTTGTCATTTGGCCCAGAGGGGACTGGATCTGATTCATCTGCCATTATCTGTACTGGCTATCCTTACCCAGTCTTCTACAACAAAATTAATACATGTCCTATTTCTACAGACTCTCTTTTTCCTTCGCCCTGTAACAATTTATAAATATAACCACCTTCTGCAGAAGCAGATGTACCACTTTGGCAGGCTTATATATTCCAAATATTAAACATTCAAATTTCGTAATTTACCAGCATCAAAAGTGCAATAGAAAAATATAGTTCCTAATCCATTATTTCGTTTTTAAAAAAATGTAGTCTGCTAGAAATTAGAATTCGTCAGGTCTTTTATATTTCACTAAAAGTCGGACTTTTGCTTTTTAATTCTACGGCTCCAGAAAATAGGCAAAATTGTGAACGGAACTTTGAAGCATATAGCGGCGGTTAACGAAGCTATCGTTCGCAAATGAGTTAGTGGTTTGGTTGAGATTTTCACTGAATGAAAACTACACTACCGGGAACTAATGAAACAGATTTTCTACATTAGTGTTGACACAACACTCATTAAAAACAACCACCACCTACACCATCAATAAAACGACAACTTATAGATGCAAAATTGATGTCGACAGATATACCTGAGTTGTACCAACATCTACCTGCAGGGAAATAATTACCACCATCCGAAATGCGGTACAAATCTAAAAATCGGGTAAGGAACAGGGACCGCGGGATGACAAATTTTATCCACAGAGAGCTTGAAATATGAGTAAGGTGAGAAACTGCGTTATGCTGTAATTCAACTTGGAATTTCGGGTAGCAAAATCAGAAGGAATGGAAGTTAAACTAAGCGCAATAAAGGAAATGATAGGGAAAAACAAGGGAAGAGACAATGAAGGGAGGGAGAGCCTGTAAAGGGGCTAGAGCAACCCTGTCCAACGCGGCGCCCGTGTTATATTTTTATGGCGCCCTACGTAACCACATATAATTGAGCCGATTTTTAATAGTAATTCAAATTGTAAGACAAGAGACATTTTTGAACGTCTGAGTACTGTTAAATATTTTCTCAAAATTTTATTATTATTACTATTATTATTATTAGTAGTGGTAGTAGTAGTAGTAGTAGTAGTAGTAGTAGTAGTAGTAGAAGAAGTATTAGTTGTAGTAGCGTGTGGTGACGCCCTCACCTCCATAGGCATCAGTGAATTGTGCCCGAGTACATAAGAACGTTGGACAGCACTGGGCTAGAGGCTCCAACTTGCTATTTCATATGGCAGAAAACCGGAAGATATACTTACAGCTTAGATTTAAACCACTGAAGGCTACTTCTGTTGATCTCTCAAAAGTAGTTTTTCAAACGTGTGCCTGCAACAAATTTTCGTCAGTCCAAAAAATGTTGACTGTACTTGCGTATTAACAAATGACCCATGGAGTCTATGGTCAACTTATGTGATTTCAGTTACAAGTTTTCTTGAAATTGTTCAATAAACTGTGTAAGAGGTCCATAAGTTCTCCATAAAATTCTCGGGTCACCTAATATGTAAATAACCTTTGGCTAGAAAAGGCCATATCTTTCTTCAAAATCCTAACGAGGTGATTCTATGGCCTACAGTGTGCTTCCACACTGGAGGTGATTCTGTGGCCTACAGTGTATAATATAGATACCATAAAGAAAAGCACACAAACTTTAAAGTATATGTTACTGTCTTGTCACCAAAATGCAGGGCAAAATCATGACATAAAGATAGGTAACAGATGTTCTGAAAATGTGGCACAGTTCAGACATTTGGAAACGATGATAAATCAAAACCTAATTCAGGAGGAAATTAAGAGAATAATGAACTTGGGTAATGCTTGCTACCATTCAGCCCAGAACCTTTCGTCTTCTTGTCTGCTGTCCAAAAACATAAAAATTAGAATATACAAAATTATAATTTTGCCTGTGGTTCTTTATGGGTGTGAAACTTGGTCTCTGACGTTAAGGGGGGAACATAGACTGAGGGAGTTTGAGAACAGGGTGCTGAGAAGAATATTTGGATCGAAGAGGGATGAAGAGATAGGAGGTTGGAGAAAACTGCATAGTGAGGAGCTTCATAACTTACATGCTTCTCCAAGTACGTGTATTTAGAATGATCAAGTCAAGGAGAATGAGATGGGGGGCATGTAGCACGAATGGAGAAGGTGAATGCATTTGGATATTGGTGGGAAAGCCAGATGGAAAGAGACCACTGGGAAGATCAAGGCATAGGTGGGTGGACAATATTAAAATGAATCTTAGAGAGATAGGATGGAATAGTATGGATTGGATTGATCTGACTGAGAATAGGGACCCGTAGAGGGCTGTTGTGAACATGGTAATGATCCTTCAGGTTCCCTAAAATGTAGGGAGGATCTTGAGTAGCGGCACAATTGGAGGCTTCTCAAGGACTCAGCTCCACAAGTGAGTGAATGAGTATCCAAATGTAGGACACCAACAGCTGATGAGCAGTCCAGCCTTGAGCTGCATTGTTAGAAACCGCTACCTACCAATGACTGGTGGACAGTGTGCTGGAGTTGTAATGATCTGTAGAGTGCATAAATGAGTGAGACTGATGTAGTTATTTGTAGTTATGAGTGCATAGTAAATCCCATTATCAATCCAAACCACATGTCTAGTCAGAAACACAAAACAATATTTTACTGGTCCACAGTGTAGTTTTTGTTGAAGAACACTGCCCTAATTCAGGTTGGAATTAAAAAAAAAAAAGATAATTTTTGGCACTAACATTGTACCCATACTTCCCTCACTTGAAATCGGTTAACTGTGGCTATGACAGGTCCACCCATTGTTCTCTCAAGAATGAGAGGCGCACCTGTGGTGTGGTTCCATCCCTTGACCATCTAATTGTCATTCGATACAATCCTCCTTAGGCTTGTAGCAACAGTAGTGGTGATGAAGACAGGATCATACACTGCACTTGAGCCTGATATCCTCTCCACTGTGCCACCTTTGTCATTAACATCATCAGTTTACTTAGGTATTATCTTCCTTTGTGCTGGGGAGGTATTTTGGGGAATCAGTCTGTGATTTGATGCTGAGCAAAACCTGTCAGGAGGGGTCATAAATTACTTGCCTTTGTACCTTTAAACCTGAAAAGATGGTTCAAGATAAACATCTCCTCACCAGACCAAGTGCGCAACAGGCTCCCAGCATGACGCTCGGCTGCCTCTTTTTTCTGTTAATGACCATTCAGGAGCTGGTAACTGGGAGCTACCTAAATGTTCTGAAAGAAATCTCGGCTGGGGGAAGAGGGAGGTTAGTTACAGTTGGAGCCAGGAAAAATTTAGGTGAGTCAGTTATAGAGGAGCGACAAGTTAGTTACAGGGAGAGGTTTACAGCGAATAGTGAGTGGGCAGTGAGATTTGAGTTCTTTAGTGGGAGTTAAAAGTAATGCTAACTACAGGAGTATCATCAGTGAGGCACAGGCTTAAAGGAGGATTAGTACAATGTACCAACATTCAATGTACTCATCATTTAACTAATGCTAGTTACGTTCTGGTGATCCTGTGATTCGTAACTCCCAAAGTGCATTCCCATCCGGTCACCCCGGCACCTGTATCCCTGGGAATAAGATCTCACATCTAATCATAGTCGTGGTATAAATCTTATCAATGCTGCTGGTCCTGCAGAGGCTGGTATCTTTGGGATGGCAGTTGGCCGCAACATATTTCTCATTTCTTCAATTTTGATTTTTTAAACATCCAAGAGGGATGGAAGATGCCTGATTTGCTGCTCACCTGCCAGCCCCCATGAAAGGGACCTGGGCATATTTGTCATAACTGAATGTGCATGCTGTGTTTTCTAGATCACCATTCCATTACCACAGAGTAAACATCTTTATACTTAACCCAATTTTGTTCTACTTGCAAATCCTTTAATGTAGCTTTTTTTATTTTCAACGTTTGTTAGTGGCGAGTCTGAGAATGATAGGAATTAATGCCTCAGTGTGTCTTTTTTTGTGCAGGTGATAGTTATTCCCTTCCTTTATGGAACTCCGATGTGCTCCGTGTTCACAGAATTCCACCCTTGGTCACTGCCCTGAGTCAGTGGAATTCATTCCACAACCTCACATCATATTTATCTGTCAGTTATATTATTATTCGTTACTTCCAGTTGTCTGGAGCCAGAACAGTGCAGTCAGTAGAGCAACTGGCTAAGGGTTGGACAGCTCAGGGGTCTGAATTCAAGTCCCAGTAAAGGCAAGATTTTCTGCTCTCCATAGCATCAAGACCGGTTCTGGGGCCCTCCCAGCCTCCTTCCCCAGGGGTAAAGCAATCAGGGCATGAAGCTGATCAATCACCTCCAAATTGTGCCAATGTCAAGAATATGTGGCACTATACATCCACTCCCTCATATGTCTTCAAGGTGTACTGCTTAATTAGTTAAGCACAGGGACAACTTTTCCTTGTGGTGTGCACGTGCATGCACACAGACAGACAGGACCTATCCCCCCTAATGTTGCCTACAGAACATAGCATACATACATACATACACATACACATACCCTGGTTCAGGGTAAATCAGGTAGACTTCAGTGCAGATTGGCATGTACAAATCATATGTGCTAATGGTGCAAACTACAGGTAAGCAGGATTAGAAAATTTAGCCTGCTCAGTGAAAGAATTGGAGGATGAACCTCCAGGCTTAATCACAGCAATCACAAGAGCTGACCAGTTTTCTCTGTCCTCAGCCAAATGAATCCAGTCCACATCCTCCCACAATATTTCTTTAAGATCCACTTTAATATTACCCTCCCACCTATGCCTATATCTTCCAAGTAGTCTCTCCCTTTCAGGTTTTACAGTCAAAATATTGCATACAGTTTTCTGTCTCCCAGGCATACTACGTGTCCAGTCAATCTGATCCTCCATAATCTCAGGAACCTAATAATGGGTGCAGATAGAACTCATATAAAGCATCTCATTATATAGTCCTGTTCTTCAGTATGATGTATGCCTAGCAAAATGATAGGAAAAAAAACGTTTGTAATGTTGTTTCCTGTAATTAGCTTGAAGAAGTAGGTGTATTGTCTGCTATAATGAATTCTAAGAATAATGTGGTATATAAGATACCTAAGAATTGATTAATTTCAAAAATATGTTTTCTCAAAATAACAGTATGTATGTGTAATGTAAAGATGGAGAGGGAATAATGTCTTTGGACTCCATGGTTAATCCCTTTCTCTTAACAAAATTAAAAATTCACACATTCATTAATTATTATTTAATGATTGAAGTTTATATACACATACTATGTCTAATGTCAAATTAAAAGAGTAATTAAATTCAAACATATTTTTGCATGATATATATATTTCAGTCAATAAAATTATATAAAAACAATAAACCTAAGTTACACACTGATGCGATTACCAAAACTGTTTGTCAAAATATTCTGCCAAACAGTACTTTCAGCACTTCATAGGATGAAAGGAACTAGTTGAAGTAGTTCTTAGTAATGACTGAAAACACTGTATCACTCTTCAGTTTATTTACACAGAATACCCTCAATGATTGCAGCATGCAGTAGCATAGTTGGTTGAGGCACTGTGCTACAAGCTGGAAAGTTGCGGGTTCAATTCCCCATAAGGTCACTGGATTTTCAACTGACCTGATCCTTCCAGCTGCGCTATATCCCTGGGATCAACTTATCCCCTAGAGGAAATGAGTACCAAGAATCTTTCTGGAGGTAAAGGGCTGACCTCACTACTATCTGTGACCTGATCATCTAGAAAATGTGGGATCCTCAATGTCTCACAACCCTATGGGCCTCCATGGCCTGTTACAGGGATAGCTTTACCTTTTACCTTGAATGATTAACGTAGATTTGAATTTTAATGTCTCCTGGCTTATTCCTGAAAATCATACCCATGGCTATCCTGCTTATAGTAGTTCTGCAGATATATTCTATGTTTATTACAAAACACTAACCATCTGGAACACAAAAGATTTCACTACTTCACCCTTAAATTCTCACAGCCTAGGTCAGTATACATATGCCTACCGTGAATCTGACAAAATATAAAAAGGAACCCTATATAACAGGTATAAAAGTATTTAATTGTCTCCCTCAGTCAATAAAAATGTTAATGAGGAGAAAAGTTTTAAATCAGCACTAAAGAGGTTTTTGTATTATCATTCCTTTTATTCTATGAACAAATANAGGGAAAGAAGGAGATAAATGAGTGTATGCACTGCAAGACGGATTAAATAAATCATAGAAATATTATCAACATGCAAATAAATGAATGAATGAATGAAAAAGATATATGTAATTAACACATTTTATGTTTGTATTCGTTAATTGAACTTTTAGTATATTTTAATATTAAAATCTTGTGAAATGTATGTTATGGTTGTGTTGTGTAAGCTTTTATGGGTTGTAATTTAATCGATTTTAACTTGAACAATTTCCACTTTTTTGGGGGGTTTGATTATCACTATGTGTAATTTCATTTTATGACTGCTCTGTATGTGACTGAGTTCTATTTTATGAACTGTTCTTGTGTATCATGTGTATATTGAAATCTTGCAAAATGCATATGTTATGATGTTGCATAAGCTTTTATGGGTTGTAATTTAATCAATTTTAACTTGAACAATTTCCACTTTTTGTGTTTTGATTATGACTATGTATAATTTCATTTTATGATTGTTCTGTATGTGACTGAGTTCTATTTTATGAACTGTTCTTGTGTATGTTTTGATTTCATTGTGACTTGTTCAACATCCTAGGCTTCACCAAAAAGGATTTATTGAATTTAAAGAATAAAAGAAAAAAAAAAATGAAATATTCAGTGCAGTGGTATAATATGAGTATTTCTCATTCTCTACTCTTTAGCTGTTCCCAGTGTTCAATCAGTGCATTTCTCATATACACCTGATACAGTCAAAATTATGTTTTCAATATATGAGTCCAGCAATGTACAAAGTCTGAAATCAAGTTACTACTTGCATGTAACATATGAGGAATCACACATACATCATAATTTTCTAGTACTGGTATTTAAGACCAAACTTTACTGTGCCAAACATAAGAGGAGAGGTAACTTATAGGAGGAGGAAGGGAATATGAGCTTTTTGCTGTAAATAAATAAATTAAAATTATCATTGGAAATGGCGCACAACCTTCTAACATTCATAGAAACCATTTTCAAGTAATAACTGTGCTTTCCTGAGAGCCTTAAATGGCTGCATACATAGGCATTATGTATAATTATAGTTTCTCCTCTATGTATAATATTTAATACAATTTAAATAATTTATATGCAATATTTTTATATTATTTATATTTTAAATGTATGTACCAGTTTTATAGTATACACTTCAAATAAACTCAGTTTCACTTATTACTGTACTTTTTAAGATATGTACTAGGTGGTTCAAATATGACTGGGACTCAATTTTTGTAAACAAGCCGCACTGCACAGCAGCTGTGCGACCTTGAGAGAGTGAAGCCACAACCTCCACCCTCCTTCCTGTTAGGGTTAGAACCTGTTCAGTCCTGTCTGGAAGTTGCTAGAGTGATGAGTGAACAGAAGGTACTGCAGAGCATGGAACAACGCATTGTGATCAAATTCCTCGTTGCAGAAAACGTCCCGTCCGCTGAAATTCACCACAGACGCCAACAATAGTATGGGGAAGAGTGTCTCTCACGGACCCGTGTGTTTGAGTGGTGTAAGTGCTTCAGAGAGGGCAGAGAGCACGTGGAGAATGAACCGCATGATCGTCGGTCGCGAACATCCGTCACCAAGCCAAACATTGATCGTGCAGACGCACTTATTCGTGAGAATAGGCGCATCACTATCAAGGAACTTG